TGTGGCGCCCCGCCCGCGTCCGTGGCCAGGGTCACGTGCGTTACTTCCTGTTGGTGGTTGACGACTACTCGCGTTACACCACAGTGTTCCCCTTGCGCAGCAAGGGTGACGTCACTGAGGTGTTGATCGACTGGATCCGCGCGGCTCGTTTCCAGCTCAGAGAGAGAGTTTCGGCTCGGACTTTCCTGTTCTGCGTCTGCACTCTGACAGAGGCGGGGAGTTTTCCTCTGCCCTTCTGGGAGCCTTCTGTCGTGCAAAGGGCATCCGCCAGACGTTCACGCTTCCGGCCTCTCCACAGCAAAATGGGATTGCTGAGCGCCGCATTGGCATGGTCATGGACGTCGCTCGTACGTCCATGATCCATGCGGCTGCTCCCCATTTTCTGTGGCCGTTTGCGGTTCGGTACGCAGCGCATCAGATCAACCTTCAGCCCCGGGTCTCCTTGCCGGAGACCTGCCCCACCTTGCGGTGGATGGGGAAGGTTGGCGATGCGTCTGCGTTTCGTGTCTGGGGATCTCGGGCGTTTGTCCGCGACTTGTCTGCGGACAAGCTGTCCCCCCGTGCTGTTCCATGCGTCTTCCTTGGCTTCCCCCCTGACGCGCCTGGTTGGCAGTTTTACCACCCCACCTCGCGCCGTGTTCTGTCCTCCCAGGACGTCACCTTTGACGAGTCGGTTCCTTACTACCGTCTCTTCCCCTACCGCACTGCGCCCCTCCCCCCGCCGCCGCTCTTCCTTGCGCCAGGTCCCCCCCCGGTAGACCCTCTCCCCCCTCCGGGTCCTGCCCCGTCAGGTGTGTCCCAGGTAGACGCAGTCGAGCCTGTCGAGGTGGCTGTTGACTCTGGTGCTGCTAGGGGTGCTGAGCCTGGGGGTGCTGAGCCTGGGGGTGCTGAGTCTGGGGGTGCTGAGCCTGGGGGTGCTGGGTCTGCTCGTGTGGCCTCTGGCGGTGCTGGGTCTGGGGGTCCTTCGGGTGCTTCGTCTCGGCGGGAGCTACCCTCTCCACAGGAGCTGCGCGTGTGGTTTGCCCGGCGCTGGAGCCGTGCTGCTGGAGCTGGAGGTGCTACTGTTGCTGCTGACCCTGGGGTCGACGCTGGAGGTACTGGAGACACTGGTCCTGGAGGTGCTCGTACTGGCGGCACTAGAGCTGCTGGGACTGGGGGTGCTGCTGGGGCTGCTGGAGTTGGTCCTGCTGGAGGTGCTGCGGGTGCTGCCAGCCGTCTAAGAGCAGCAAGTTCCGGATTTCTCGTCGAGCCGCGTGCATGGCTGTGGCGGGATTTTTCAGGTGGAGCGAGTCGCCGACGAGCTTGCAAGCGAACTGCTCTCCTGTGGCGCGATTGACGCAGCGATGCACCACACCGTATTGCCCGCGACCGAGCTCCTCTCTTAACTCGTACTGGCGATAGAACTCGTTGAAAGTAGGTGAAAACAAGGCCATTCAGCGGCTGGCGTCGATCTGGCTTCGCGATTAACGAAGTGTGGATTTAATTCTTCAAAGTTTGAAAGTGATATTACGAAGAAAACTGTGAACCTTTGTAGTAAACGGTGTCGCCTGCTCTGGTGCTATCAGATCACTAGTTTGCCCGCGTCAGAGCCTCGTGTGAAAGGAGAAATGATAGAGCGGGGAGTAAAAAGGAAGAGTGAGAAATTGAGGGGAGTGATCAGCATTTTGAAGGCACCACTTGCTCCAGGTCGTACGGTTTCAAACTGTTTGACTCGGCACGGCAGAACGATACCGGAATTCGCGAAAGCGCGGTTTGAGTAGCAACACGATACTCGCTAAGAAGGTAACTCTTTTCGCGATTCCCGTGAGTTCTCGAATCAAGGTTGTGCGGGGTGGGCGGAGTGACTTTGGGACTATCGGGTAACCCAAGCCGGCTCGCGACAGGCAAGAAAGTTGTCGCCGGCCCTCGAACTCCATTCGTCCAATAGGTCAACGCAGACAGCCCGGCTGTACGGGACCACCAGTATTTTACACTGAGATGAGCCGCGTTTCAACGGCAGCTTAGTCAGCGGGCAGTCCAAACGTCAACTCCTGAAACCGCGTTTCAGGTGGAAAAGTTCACCATGGGCGAAACCAAACGGTTTGTCAGCTGCCTGCAAGCACAAAAACACCCCCTGCCATCCTTTTAGGGCATATGGGAGTTTGGTTTTTCGCGGTCACTTGACGGCCCGACATCCATCACAGTTTCCAAATGCAGGACCAGCTTTGCTTGGCTAATCCCCGATATTGATGTAGTAATGTATCACCTCTACCAGACGTTCGTAGATGGTACACTAGAATGCGCATATGGAAAAATGTTCGTCTATGGATTGATCCAGTCGCTTATAAATGGTTCCAGGCAAGAAAGTTAGCTTTTGCAACAACAATGTCATTGATGTTGTTTTTGGTGTGCGTTTTTTTCCTCTTGTACTCACTCTTCCTACCTCTCTGAGCTGACTTACCCTAAAATCAGTTGTTTTTCATGGCGCATCTGCTACCTTTCTCTCAAAGTAGGAATGCAACGGAATGATGAGATTAGGAATGTGGGTGATACAAATAACAAACCCTAACTGAGTTGTACTCACTAAGGAGCACCTCACTACAGCCTATCACAAATATCAACATTTGACACACCCCCATAGGCTAAGTGAGGGGCATCAAAGCAAGCAGGGTGAACAAACGGTCACAAGACCACTCAATGCAAGAAGCAAAGCAAGCTCCGGGTGGATCTCAAGGACACCACACAAATTCCGAGCATAAGCAAGCCGCCACAAGGCCAGTTCAAGAGTTCACTAGGATATATAATGGCAAAGCACAACAAGCAAAGCAAGCAACAAGGCTACAGCAACCGAGGACCTGCCTCAACAAGCCCTAACTGCACACAGAATCGGTGGTGATCACCAGGCGCCAAGGCCTTGGTGAAGAGGTCAGCAGTGTTGGCCTCTGAGGCCACAAAGTCCAGGCGCATCTGGGCGCGTCGCTGTAGCTTACGCAAGAGGAAGTACTAGACATCGATGTGCTTCACCCTAGGTCTCCAGTCGAGGCTCGCGACACAAGAGAATCATGGCCTTGTTGTCAGCGAACAAGGTCAGAGCAGTGTGAGGTCGCTCACCAAGGTCAGCGAGCAAGAAGGTCAACCAGCGAAGCTCCTGAGCAGCCATGGCACCGGCATAGATCTCTGCCTCTGTACTGGACGAAGCCACCGACGACGACCGTGTGGACCTCCACGACACAGCCCCAGCTCCCAGACTGAAACAGTAACCCTGGGTCGAGCACTGAGTCTCCACGTCGTCAGCGTAAGAAGAGTCACAGAGGCCAGTCAGCTCAACTGGCCGAGTCCCTCCAAGCACAAGCCCCATGCCTGATGTAGTCGCCAGGTACTTCGCCACCCTCACGGCAGCCGTCCAGTGAACAAGACGGTGCCTCCCAGGTCCAACAAAGCGAGAGAGGACGCTAAGAGGGTAGGCGAGGTCCGGGCGAGTACAGGTCATCAGGTACATGAGGCAGCCAACAAGCTCTGGGTAGGGACCACTGGGCTCAAAGGGCTTGTCGGGGAAGGGGCCGGTGAGTCTGTGGTCTACAGCAAGAGGAGTGGGCTCTGTGGTAGAGAACTGAAGCCCGAACCGCTGAAGGACCTGCTGCACCATGTGTGACTGAGTCAACGTGATGGTGCGAGCGGCTCTGTCCCTGGTGATCTGCAGGCCAAGGTAGCGCTGCAGTTCACCAAGGTCTGTGCACGTGTGTCTCTTCTACAGTTCGGACTTCACCTCACTCAGAGCTGCCCTGTCTGGTGTAGCAAAGACCAAGTCGTCGACGTAGACGAGTATAAAGAAAGGAGTGGAGCCTGCACGAACAAACAGTGACGGGTCAGCAGAGGAAGGGCAAAACCCTAGGTCACGAAGCGTGGAGCGAAGAGTGTCGTGCCACTCACGGGGCGACTGGTGGAGACCGTACACTGGTCGCCTCAGGCTCCACTGGGTCCTACTAGGGAAAGTACCAGTGAAACCAGGAGGACGGCGCAGCCAGATCTCCTCGTGCAGTCGTCCCTGGAGAAAGGCAGTGGAGAAGTCGAGGGGGTGGAGCTCGTAGTCACGCTGTGCTGCTACGTGTAGTAACACCCGAAGTGTAGTAATTTTCGGGGTCGGAGCGAAGGTCTGAAAGAAGTCAACTCCCTCGCGCTGACTGAAGCCTCTCGCCACATGATTACCCTAGTCACCGCCCATCTACTGTTGCCGATAGACTGGTACATCAGCCCATCGTTCCACGTCAGCCTTCTTCGCCCTTACATCCCAACCACGAGCCAAGTGCCTCGTCACCGCCCACCATCCATAACTCACCCTGCATCAGAGCCAATCATCGAGCCCGAGAAGATTTTGAGCCATCGGATTCCACACCCCACAGGCATCAAGAGGATTGAGTTCCTCGTTCGCTGGAAGGACCGCACGCCAACTGAGGATAGCTGGATGCCCCTGGGCAACATTGAAAGCCACCCTACCCTGCAAGTGTACCTGAGAAGCCGGGGTTTCCGCGATATACACGCACTCGCGTAGCGGAGGGGGCTAATTTGGGGGGGGGGGGGGGGGTAGTGTAAGGAAATTTCTCGCTATTCCTTACTGCGACCTGTCAAACTAACGAACAAGAATGAAGGCATTGAACTGAAGTTGGGTACAAGTACTAACCCTAATTGGGTTGTACCCCTTATGGGCTACCCCACTACAGCCTACATAGATGTAAGCACTATAACATTCTGACACACCCCCATAGGCAAAGTGGGGGAAAACAAGTGGTCACAAGACCAGTCAAGAAAAGAAAAGCAAGCTCATGGTGGATCACAAAGTCACCACACAGTCCGAGCACAAGCAAAGGACCACAAGGCCAGTTCACATACAGAGTTATATAAAGAGCACAAACAATACAGTGATCATACCCTAGCAAGTGTAAGCATGCAGGTATATATATAGATCACAGTACAAGTAAAGTCACGAAGTGAGCAAGTGAGGTACCGTCTTGCATGATTATGCCATGGTGCCTTCTGCAGGAGAGAGAGCAATGGGAGGAGGAGGCGGTGGGATGGGAAGAGGTGGTGTGCATGCAACGGGTATAGGCCAGAGGTTTGTGTCTCAGAGCAACAGAGACTTTGCAGCAGCAGAAGCAGCGGCAGCAGCGGCGGCAGCAGCAGCGGCGGCAGCAGCAGCAAGGGCGGCAGCAGAGGAAGCAGCCGTTCCCAATGCCCCTCCCCCAGCAGCAAGCGGCGAGATCAGCATGTACCAGGAACCTTCGAGCAGCCTGCAGATAAGCGCGGGGAGGAATGGGGGTACAAGAGGGGAGAATGGAGGCATGGGCGCAGAGAATACAGGCCAGCAGCAGAGGTTCAGTGTGAGAGGGGGCGCTGGGGGGGACGCGGTAGGCGCAGGGGCAGGGGGGTATGTGGGAGGTGGAGTGAGGATGAGCATGGGTGGTGGGGGGTTCGGTCCGTTTGGGTTGAGACCCAAGAGACCTGAGGTTAGTGGGGATGTTGCTTCTATTTGGCTCAACCGGTGGTTGCGGCCCCCCACTGCTGCTGCTGGCGGTGCTGGTGCTGGTGGTGCTGGTGCTGGTGCTGGTGGTGCTGGTGCTGGTGCTGGTGGTGCGCAGGAGAATCCTCTGTCTCTCCCTGTGTCAGGTGAATTTCCAGGTGGTGGGTCTATTTCAGGATAGTGCCAGTCAAGGTGAGCCTCTGCTGTTGGCTCAGGCGCCTGCTTCTAGGGAAGCGAGTCAAAACGGGCAGCAGCAGCTGCAGCAGCAGCAGGGGATGCAGCAGCAGGAGCAGGAGGAGTGGAAGCAGCGGGAGCGAGAGCGACAACAGGAGTGGCTGCAGCAGCAGCAGCAGCGGCTGCAGCAGCAGTGGCAGCTGCAAACGAGCACCTCAGCCGAACCTCCTCCTTCTGACTCAGAACCCCCTAGAGCCTCTGATTATTCTGCTGCTGGTGGGGGAAATGCCGATGCCGACGCTAGTGTTGATGCTAGTGTCGATGCGGCAGCTTTAGCAGCAGCTGTAGCGGAAGCAGAGGCGGCGAGGCGTCGGTTTGAGAGGGGGCGAGTGGCCATGCAGAGCTGGAAGAGCAGGAGCAGACCCGCTATTGCTCACACAGGAGCAGCAGCAGGCGCAGGAGAAGGAGCAGCAGCAGCGGGTGGGGTGGTAGGGGAGGGAATGGCACGGGACAGCTCAGCACTGCGAGTGGCTGCGATTGAAAATGACGTGGCGGCTTGGTCTGCCTTGCTGGCAGAGAGGGGTGGAGGCGGAGGAAGAGGAGGAGGAGGAAGAGTCGGAGGAGCAGCAGTGGCAGCAACGAGTGATGCGGGAAGCAGCGGCAGCCACGAGCAGCAGGCACATCAAGCCCTCCAGCAGCATGAGCTGGAGATCCAATCCCACCGCAACCAGCAGCGAGCAGCAGGAGGGAGTGCACTGTTCGCCCCACACTCTTCCCTCCACGGCCAGCAGAACCCGCACACTCTCACTGTGCACCCCCCCTCACACTCTCACTCTCGCTCCTCTGCCACTCGGAGCTTTGGGGGGGCGTCCTCTCACTCGCCCGCTCCTCCCTCCCCACCTGTCAGGGGCGCAGGGCCGGAGGGTCTTGAGAGTGTGGTGGAGGGAGGAGTGGGAGGGGAAGGAGGGGTAAGAGGAGGAGGAGGGGGAGCGAGGGGATTTGGGTCGTTTGGGTCGGGCTTTGGTGGTGTGGGCCGAGGGTCGGGAGGTGGCAGGCTCGGGGCGTTGAGATCAGGAATGGTAGAAGCAGGAAGAGGAAGGGGAGGAGGAGAAGGAGCAGTACAAGGGGGGAGAGGAGGAGGAGGAAGTGAGGCAGCATCAGGGGGACCTGTGTTTGTGAACACAAGGCGGACAGAGGAGTATCAAAAGCTACACCAATCCTCTAGCAATCTCAAACCACTGGGCCACCCTCCTGTCTCTCCGTCCGGATTCGCTGCATTTGGAATGCGGGTTTCTGCAGCTGAGAGCGTCAGCGGCAAGCTCAGGTCGCTCCGAGCCGGAGGGCTAAGTCCGGCAGTGCCAGGTCCGGGAGGAGCCGGAGCCAAGCCGGGTGTTGCGCGTGCAGGTTCGGGGTTCAGCCTTAGTGCAGCAGCAGCTGCGGACGCTCTTACCAATGCTGCTGCTGCTGCTGCTGGCCTAGGTCCTGCCGGTGCTGCCAGTAAGCCGATGATTATGCCATGGTGCCAATGAGAAGAAACCCCAAAGTCCCCGCTCCATCATGAGCACTTGGAACTTAAACTTCCACACGGTGTAGTTTTGTCCCGTGAAAATCGGTACCACCGACGTGTCGAACATCGTCACAGTTGCCCAGGGTTTGCCGGAATTTACAACGACACCATCCAAGGAAGTGCGGGAGGCCTTGCTTGACGTTGGCATGCTAGCTTCTTGTTGCGCGCGTAGACTCCTCCAACCTCGCTCTTGTCAGAAGACTTGCACTGTGAGATCCCCGATTGATCCTTGGAGGGTTACAGGCCTGTTAGCCTGGGGGATTATGGGCGCACTGAACCGCTACTGAAACAAGCCCTTTATCCCAGTGGTCTAGTGACTGGGATTCTGACAGCTCTGATACCACTGTTTAAAAGGACTCTCCTCTAGTTTGCAGGAACTGGGATTTGAAATAAACAATAGAGCACTCTGTTAGCTTTCCAACGAGCCGTAGATCACCTCGAACGCCTAAGTATCGAGCGAGATATAAGCGTTTATGCGCTAGGTAGTGCTCTTGGAATCAAGGAGAGGAGCTCTCTGGATTTTGTAGTCGAATGTATCACATACAAAGTGATTCTCGATCCATGCAATACAAAGCAAACAAATTTATATGAACTGCAATGCATCGAGTCGCACATGTAACCTCGAGTCGCTACACTCTCGAATGTTCGAGTAACATTTCGAATGGGTGAAATTCGGAACTCGAATTTCACCGAATCGAATTCTCCTTCAGTCTCGATTCTTCTTGTGCTGCCATGTGGCACTGAAGTGATGGAGTCTTCCGAAGTCAAACTTCAAACCCATGCATACCTGCAGCTCACTCGAAGGTGAGCACCAAAAACAGCACTGCTTGGTGGTTGGGGGCAAAACCGCCCCACGCAACCTCCAACACAAATTGCAACCGAAGAATTTCACACATCATCATTAGCAAAAATCGCACCTGCTTGCTTGCAATCCCTTTCGTCCATCAGTTTCATTTTGACTCTCCTCTGCATGAATGACTCTGACCAATTTCCATCCTTTCCGTGTTCCGCCGCGCAGAGGCCGCGAGGGATATCGTCGTCTACAAGGGCAATGAGTCGCAGCAAGGTGGTCCCATAGACGCGGGAGGCCCAGGCGGAATCGGCGAGACCGGCGGGAAGGACGGGAAAAAGGTGTCAAAATGTTGTATTGCTTACTTTGTGTAGGCTATAGTGGGGTAGCCCATAAGGGGTACAACCCAATTAGGGTTAGTACTTGTACCCAACTGTTTCATAGTTCATCCATTCTTGTTCATTATTCTGACATGGTTTCAGAGCAGGTCCTTCGCTAGGACCGTTTTTATAGGGCTGGACCCCGACAGCAGCTCCCAGTTCATGTGGGATGGCTCAGGTGAGGGGGTGGAGGAGGGAGAGGAGGGAGAGGAGGGAGGGGTGTTGGTGCTGGTGCTGCTGTCACTACTGGCAGTGGTGCCGTTGCTTTTGGTGCAGTTGCTGCTGCTGCTGCTGCTGTCGCTGTTACTGGCTTTGCTGCTGTCGGTGTCGCTCCGCGCTGCCGAGCTGACTAGATCGGCGCGGCACTGCTGCAGAGCCGTCTTGCACGTCGCCACCTCCTGTGCTGCCGCTGCCACTGCCGCAGCCGCCGCTGCTGTTGCTGCTGCAGATGACGCTGCGCCTTCTGCTGCCACTGCTGGCGCTGCAACGGACCCTGCACTAGGAGACCTCGTGGTTCTTTCTGTCGATCCTGCTGCACCTACTGCTGCTGCTGCACCGGGTGCATCTGCCCCGGGTGCAACGGGATCAGCGGCCAGCAGAGCCGAGGCTTGCTCTTCCGCTGACGACGCAGCGCTTTCAGGCGGCCCATCCGCTGCTGACTCAGACGAGCCCTCCTCTGACGTGTCACCATCTGCGTCAGACAAGGAGGGAATGAAAGCAGCCATTGCGGCCGCGTCCGCTTCCCCCCCACCTCCCTCCTCTCCTCTCAGCATACCTCCGCCCACCTCCCCCGCTTGCGCCTCCCCTCCTCCTGCCAATCCTCCCCCGTCCCCTCGCCCCCCGTCATGCTGAACCCCCGTTGCAATCACGCCCCCCTGACCCTCCCTATAGCGAGCAATTTCCGCCTGAAGCACGCGCACAGGCTCGCCCCTGTCCCCCTGCTGCCATCCCCCCAACGCTCCCCCTCCCCCTTCCGGTCTCCCCCGGCGCGCCTCTTCTCGAAACCAGCGCAGCGTGTCGTGCGGGGAAACTCTTGTCGGGTAGCGCCCGGACGCGACGGCGGCGGCGACGGCGGGCGACGCGGCGGTGGGCGCGGCTGACGCGTCGTCGTATGATTGGAGGAAGAGGTCGGAGAGGAGAATGCAGAGGCAGAGGAGGAGCGAGCCGACAAAGACGAGCCGCACGGGGCGATTGGAGAAGAAAGTCGCGGGGTTGACGGAGAGCGAGGAGATTAAGGAGGAGGGGACTAAGGGATGATGCTGCTGCTGCTTGCCTCGCGATGTCATTGCAAGTCACGCTGCTGGTGAGTAATGCCACCACAATTCGTCTCCAGGTTTCCTCTTCCGCTCACTTCCACCGTTTTGGAATATCACACGCGCCTGGCGTCCGTATGGTCTGCCTACAACCGCTCGCAATCACTCCCATGTTTTTCTTCCCTAGCGAATTCTACACCGACACAAGTCCACGCAATCTAACCTTTTTAGGACACAAAGCGGTGCTGTCTGCGCGCGACAGTCGATGCCTGGCAAATTGCATGTGGCGAGCGATCAGCGTCTTTGAAAGCCAGCAGGGAGTGCGGAGTGATTATCGTATTGCGGTTGAGGGTAGGGGCGGCATAGGGGTCAGAGTGGGTGGTAGGTTTTTTTTTTTTTTGGGTTGCGAAGCAACCCTTTACGATCGATTTTGCCAAATTTTATTTTCATATTTTTTTTTTATAAAATCATGAAAATAAAAATTGTCAACTACAGTAATAGGACAGAACTTATGGTTTGAGTAAATGTGACGAAGAGCAACGAATCCAATCCCCAACACACTGACCTGTCCATCTGCTTCACACGCCGCTTCTTCATCTTGCGCACGACAGCCACAATGTGGCTCATGATGCCCAGGTCCGCCTGGTGCATGATGTCAGGCATCACCACGAGGTAGGGATTGCCCCACGCGGTCCCTGGGACATCCTGTTATAGTCACAATAGGCTTGAATGTGCCTAAAACGAAAGATAGAGAGCACAGACGGATTTCTGCACAGCGGCTTCAAACGTTGATAGCGTTCTGCTCACAGCTGCAAATGACTTGATTCAAATTGGATCTGGAGCGTCTTCACGTCGTCTACAATTAGCAATTTAGATTGCACGATTTGATAAAGAATTGACGACACAGCGTCGGTTTGAACGAACGGTACTATGGCAGCCACTATAGTCTTAGAACACAAGATAGGAAGAGTTACGAGTTGGGAATGACTCCCAGCTCCTACAAACCCCAAGAGCCGAGGTACAGTGATGTGGAACAGTGCCACACTGTCCCCAACCACGAAGAGTCTCGAAACTACCCTTCACTAGGGCCTACACCAAGTGAAATGTTACACTACACAAAGTAATGTAACTATCTTCAATATCTTGAGGTGTACCCTTTTGGCAAGCTTCGAAATCACTTGAGAGTTGTTCCAAACTCCTCTGCCCTCTCCTCAGGTAACCTTTCGGAACCCTAAAATGATCATGCCCAACCAGCCACGCCTTTTTTGGGATGAGGGCAGATTATTACCTCGTAGAACGCACTGTTGTACTCGCACTCCTCCGCGATGTCACTCTCAAGGTGAGCGAGCATATGTTGGAATTGGTTCCTTTGCACAATGAATTCTGACCATTGGCGGCGGTTTGACGCTCGAAAGGGTCGCTTGACACTGCTCTTGTGGAAGGTTTCATACATATTTGTTGAATACTCTTCAGGCAACCCGCCTCTTTTGATGGCATCCACGTAGTGAACCGTCATATGCACCTTGATGAGCTTCCACGACAACGCTTGTTCTGGAAATGCCAACTTTTGTTTCCGAATCATGCTGAAAAAGGGTGAAATGGGTGGAATGTGGATCATATGTGAACACAAACATAGGGGGGAAACACATCGACGGGACCCTGAACCAACAATGGGGTTCCGAGCATGTCATGAAGGATGTGCTACCACATGTGTTGAAACGGGAATGGCCTGCAATACCAAGAATAAGGCACGATAAGGGCAGAAGGGGAAAGAATAGTTGTGGGAGAATCGAAGTGAAACCAAGGGAGAGGGTAGATGCAAAGTACAATCTGGCCAACGTGATTGGACGTAAAACGGGGGGAATGGGTATGTGGAAATTCCTTGGTCTGGCCTGGTGCGTGATGGGTAAAGTATGGACTGGCTGATGGCACTTGAATATCCCCATGATGGGTGAAATAGGGCGCTGAAGGAAGAGTAGGAGCATGAGACCTGCTGCTAAAAAAACAAGGAACCACCAGTGGGCGGCAGAAGGGGTATGCCTTGGTGAGTGATGGGGGGGAGATATGGGGAGTATGAAATACAAGTATAGGAAAAAGGGAAGGACAGAGTGCACATTGGGCATGAAGGGGATTTGGTGGATACATATGCTGCAGAACAGAAATTACAATGCGCCTACCTATGTGATTTAAGCACGACGTCTGCAAGACTGGCGTTGTGTAGTGTCGGGGACGAAAGGTACAGTTATACCAATCCAAGAACCCCTTCACCGCATCCATCTCATCATCTAACATAAGACCTTCGAGTATGAAAACAGCAGCCTACATGACCGCACGGTGCTCTACAGCAGAAACGGTAA